GAAATAAAGTTTTATCATTTAAGTCATAGATTTTGAGGCAAAAATCTACTTTTACCAAACCATTGGAAGCATCAAAGGCAGTAAAAATCACATCGATTAAAGTTTTAATATACTTCTGAAGAAATACAAGCTATATACAGATGGAGCAATAATTAAAGAAGCAATGTTGGAATCAGCAGGCGTAGTTTTGCAGATTTTAAAAATAGAAAAGGAATTGTTTCAGCCATAAATGCCATGCAATTTTTATCTAGAACTATTACAAGGGGAACTGAAACAATTGCAGACCTTTTAGAAACCCGATTGATAAAAATCTATGAAAAAATATGCAATTCCCACTCACACACACAACTCGCAAAAAGTGTTAAGATGGCCTTTGATGATTTAACCATAAAAGAAGAGTTTCTAAAATCCTACCACTTAAAGAGAACATATGGGGAAAGGATTTATTTTTTTAATTGAAGCTAAAATACTGTCTGGGAAATTATCTTCAATAACAACTAACGGCTGAGCAAGGAAAACATGCTTGAGCGATTTATTAGTTTGTTATTACAAATAAGAGTTTCTAACATCCTAGGAAAATCTACGAACAGCTGAAAGACAAAAACTAGTTAACAAAATTGGCTTTTTTGACGGATTTAGCATTGAATTTTGAAGAGTTAATAAAGGGTACATGAACCCTTCTCCTGTGTAGTTTCCTGTTACTACAATTTCAGATAGAAATTAACCCACCTGGATTCTACAAACTGTTATAATAACTTCTATTTTCTTAATATAATTAGTAACATTCCTACATAAAGAAGTTATTTTTGTTTTAAAAGTTAAAAGTTCACTCTTAATTGCTCAGTACAAAAACACAAATTGTTTTCAAATTACTATACATCAATATTAAGATGAAATCGAAACACTTATATTTTTCAACATAACAATGTTTTTAAAAATCAGGTATAAATCAAATTCTTCTTAAATAGGGTATAAATAATCAATATCCACTTACCTCACAAATTGAAATAATTTTTTACCGCCTATATGCATGGTTACAATGCACTTAGAACAATCAATCACTCTTCACTAGCCCTCCTGCTAGATTTAAGCAAAAATTGGCACTAAGTAAACATTATTTCACAGTTCTGGTTTGCTAAATAATTTATGCAATGCATGGATCGTATTTTCTTTAGATTTATTTTATCATACTATTTCTAAATATGAGAAAAGTACTGCAACATAGCAAGCCATTTTACGTGGCTGTCACTAAGCAAACATTCTATCCACCGTAAGACTTCTTGCCACATGGCAAAATGTAGAAAACAGTAAAACTTGCATGAACAGTAATTAAACCTCTAATTAGGTCTACCATGTAATCTTAATTATTTATCCTAAGAATCATAATACATAAATTTATATATAATTAATAATTAGAGCTATTATGAATTATTTATAATTTTTAATTAGTAGCATGAAAAACAGTAAAATAGCTTAGCAGCTTTTCTCTATTAGGGACTCACAAAGTCACCTTAATTGCTTAAATATAACTTACATATGAATTAAAGAAAACTATATTTTTGTTGTTATATCTTTTACATAAATGCAGCCAAATGATTAGAATAAATATAATCATAGGAAAGTACTTATGTCTGCGTTGCTGTCGTCAGTCAGCGGCTTTTTTCAACCCTAATAACTTCTCAATTTGCAATTCACTATTCCAAAAGTAGAAAATATTCATTTAAGTTTTCAATAATATCTAGGGTTTTTTTTTTTTTTTCCCTTATGCTTTCTTTCATAAGAGATGTTAATTATACTTCTTAATTCTTCTCGCTGAGTCAGCTGTGATATTTTTTTAAAACAGTTCCTCAAAAAGTGGAATGCAGATTATTAATTTCAATATAATGCTGTATGGAGCAGTGTCTACATATTTTTCTTTTGCTAATTATGCCTCATTTGTTTCACTCATTAGTAATGCTTCAGCTTAATATTTTGGTTTTAATGGGTAAATTATTTTATACATGCTTTATCAAGATTTACTGAGCTGTATTCAAGATCTTTCCAAACATTAGCAGCATCAGTGTTGCAATTATTATTCTGGATTTTATCCAAAACATCTGAAATCTTCATTTCATATGACTGCCATATCAAGTTTTAATATTCTTATCTATTGTATCTTGAGCTTCTTCTACAGTTTATGAAAATAAGCCAATTCTTTATATTTCTTTCAAGGGAGTCGCGCATTGAGTTTTAGTGTACTTCAGATGATCTATTTAAGGCAGTTTCATTCCGTTCATTAAATGTAGCTTGGACAAACTGCTAATTCAAAAATATTTTATAATCTGAATAGCATGCTGTGTAACATTTGATATATTTCAAGTTTTTTTGCAGTAAATTAAGTGTATGGGCTAAACAACTATAAGATGTAAACTGAAATTTTGTTTCTTGTTCTATTCTCATTGTTTTCATATTTTCTGCATTATTGGTCATAAAACTATAATTTTACATTTAAATTTGTTTCAATATTTTTAATGACACCAATAATAAGTACATTTTACTTGTATGTAATGAGTCCTCATTAGTTTTCTCTAAATGTATGGTTCTATCTGTTGTACAAATATGCATGCAGAATATTGGTTAATTGTGGATTTTAGAACATCCAGCACCATATAAAGTCCGAAATCCTGAAGTCCATTTTGCAGAATGATCTAAAGCCTGGACCTCAAAACTACCAACAATGTTTTTCTAGTAGGCTTTACACATGCGCATTTTATTCCCCCCTCCCCTCCGCGCATAATAAAACATCTGGAGAGTCCCGATTCTTAATTTCACTTTGACACTAAATTAAATACCTTGTTATTGAAGGAACAATCATTTTAGCATAAATTTGTACGATCAGTAATTTGGCTCGGTTTCTGCATATCTGCTTGGCACCCATCTCAAACCGAAATATTCCACATAGATACATCGTTGATCTGACGCCAACCTGGCGAATCATTATTTTTATTATACTTTCCTTTCATCACCACATGTTTATCAAAACATGACAACTTGAGTATTGACTCATGTAGTAATGCCTAAACATTTTTTTTATAATAGTAATTGAATAATAAAGGAGTATAACCTTTTATGTTGACATTACGCTTGGCTATAATTACAGATTTAAGTTAAATGCGCTAAACAATGTTGATGAGGAAAAATTTACCAAAAATTTCTTTCCATATGCTAAAAATAGATTTTGTTGATGATACTCATAGACCCAAAGATTACATTTAGGGCTATCTGAATTAAGAATAACTGATTTGTTATTCACATAAACACAGGAGCATCACCAGGGCTCGTATGGCGCTGCCGGGTCACAGAATTTAGGACCCACAGAGACCGCATCAAGCGGTAAGATATCTAGCTCCAGTCTCCAATAAGGCTTAAGTATATGTGGGAATGTATTTATTCAGAACTCTGATAAGCCTTAAGCATGTGCAAGAAATAGACATGAGTATAATAAATAACTAAACTAATACAGATCAGGCTTAATTGTCTCAGTGCGCAATAGAAGCGACATAAAATTTAACGAAACAACTTGTCGTTAGTTGCCAAGCTCATGATGCATAACCAAATATGTATAGTGAAGAATAGCTAAATTGGATAATGATAACCGCTAATTTTAAAGGTTTTCGGATATCGCAAAACAAAGGTGAAATTTTCCAGTTAACGGATTTTGTAAAGAAATTTGGAGAATTGATAATAAATGATATAAAGATGATAGAAAAGAAGTTTTTCATTGTGATGACAATGCTTCTCAATCATCAATCAGTTAATGAATAGCGAAATCTGTAGTGTGGTTCTAGATCCAAAAAATACCGCTGCCTATAGTGAAGAAAGTGACAGAGAAGTTACTGGAAACGAGAACATTTTGATTGGCAAGTTAGTCGGAATTCTCGAAACAATTACAGGACTTCAACAATGTAACTAAACAAGAGATTATGTCTGTCTACAGAATGAAAGAGAAAGTATTAGCAGAAAAAAACGAAGCAACTTAAACAACTTACATTGAAAGAAATGTTTAATAAGGTAAACAAATAAATATTAAGCTTTTTTTTTTTTTTTGAAATCTTGATACCCTTTAGATCATAACTACTTCATTATTTCATAAATCATGATTTCATATTTTTAATTTTATAATTTCTACATGCCATCTTACTAGATTTAAACTGATGATCTAATATCCAAAAAAAATCCCAAATCTGGAATCGCCGAAGTCCCGACGAGTCCGTATTTTGGACTTTGTACAGTATACTTTTTGATAAACTAAAGCATTTCTGTATTTGATCCTCATATAAGTTATTTAATAATATACTGCTTTAGTCACTGTATGTGGAGACTTATATGCAGGATGCAGCATTTGCTTTAAAATTCTATGAAATGTGAGTTTTCAACACTGCAAAATGATGTATTCATTGCATAAAAAATTTTTACCTACTTGATAATCTATTTTAGATTTTAGAGCTGATTGTGTTTTTACAACATGCTATCTTGGATCATGCACCGTGTGTTTCGAATATTACACTTAAGACTAGATAGGTGTAGGTGATACATTTCCTCGTATCATACTAACATGGCTTGTTTAAATTTATTTAAGCAATTTTCTTCTTTAAAAAGCAGCTTTTTGTTTTGATTCAATAAGCAAAATTTCTTAAGAGTATTATGTATTATCTTAAACTTCAATTTTACCACATTTCTTGTCATTTAAAAAACTGGAGACTATGCTATTTTCATATTTTCATCTATGACTTATTAAAAAAAATCTGCTGATTAATATCATTGACATTCTTGTAAAAATAGGTTCTTTGAGTTTATGAGATATTTTTGAATGATAATATCTTGAATAAACTATTCTGTTTTGACCTTCCCCATTCTCCAGCTGATAAACTTATACCTCAGTTACTTGTGTGTGTGTGTATGCGCTTGATTGTTTGTTTATTTTCTTTGGCATATACAGATGTTTTAATTATTAATTTACAGACTTTGATGAAGATGGTTTAATATCTGATGAAGATATTAAAGAACTGCTCAACCGCCTTTCAGGTGATAAACTGCGTCGGCTGGAGATTGATCAATTATACGAGCAAGTAATTACTATATTTCATCATTTAAGATGTTCGTATTTTACCAGTGCTATGAAAATAATGTGCATTTCTTATCTATTTTGAAAATATATTCTTATTTGTTCATAAATGCAGCCATTATTAATAATATATCTATTTATCCTATCACAAAGCACATAACAGTTTAAGGGGAAAAAAATGCTTACATTGCAGTAAAAAAAAAGGTTCCTTTAAGAGTATTTAATGCTTTCTTTTATCACTTGATAATTTCATGTATTTTTAAAATTTACCTCTGGCGAAATGTTCTAAACAAATCTTCAGAATATAAGCAGCTTTTCTTTTAATTTTTATTTTTTAAATTTCCAATAAAATGTTACATTTTTCATTTTGAATTTAATTTAGATTTTGTAAATGTTTAATGAGCTTTAATATTCTTTATTATATGATTAAAACATAATTACATAAAATAGTATGAATTTTATTTTCCATGCATGGCATACTATTTTATAATGCCACACTTTGTAAAAATTATAATATGGGATGGCAATAATTCAGATATCTTTGCTTAAACTCTTATTCAATATATTAAGTGAACCCAATTATATATATTAAGCTTGATTAAATATATTAAGATTAAATTAATTAACTATATTAACTTTTGCAATGATATTAAAAGTCGGGATAACAAGTCATCTATTCATTTTTGCAAAATGCAAATAAAAGCACAATTAAGCTTAAATTTGTTTACTACATCACGAATAAAGGCAAAATTATGCTGAAGTTCATAGGCAAAATCTTGTGAACTTTTTGTGTAAGTCAGAAGGAAAATAATTTGACTCAGTGAATATAGTATGTATTTCATGTTAATAATATTCTCATGCATCTGTGATGCTGAATATTGGTGATTGTAATATGCAAAGCTCAGAAACTCTTTTAACAAGTTTCAGATTTGGTTGCTTATATGTAGTTTCTTTTATGTGCTTCAAGAGGAAAATAATAGTTGCTTAGCCATATTTTATTGCTTGCTTCTGGCTTTACAAACTGTTTTTTAAGTAATGTATGTAAAAGATTAGATGTTAAAAATCACTAACAATTTAGCTTTTGCTGTGTTCCTGTTTTTCTTTAGTGAAAAAAAGGTTTCATCATCATGGTTTATGTTCTAATAAAGTTTTTACATCTTAATGTAATTCTTGGTTAAAAGACAACAGCCACATTCCTATCATATAGTAATGACAGCTTCAGCATGTTGAGGTTCCATGGCTAAATGCAAAGTGTTTTCTGCAAGTGAGCTACTACGAGTTCTACTGTGTAAGATATCAAACTCAGATGCTGTAGTTTTGTTATGCTTAGGAAACAGAAAGGGGACACAAGCATTTCATACACATTTTTCCTGTACAGCTGTGCCGTTCAATATGTTGCCCCCTAGCATGCAATAAATGAAGAAAAATATTTGCGGCAGAATTATCAGAACTGATGCCATATACATGCTGTAGTATGCTCTCTTTAAGAGTTTTCAAAGTGTTCAAGGTGATTATTATGTATCTGGTATTTTTAAAATATTTATAGCCAGAAATTATGGATATCGGAAGAAGTGATTCCCACAGTGAAACTACGGAAATAACTGAATTCGTTTATAAGTACTTTTGCTGTAATGTTTAATCAAATTGTTTCTGATAGTGCCCTTTCAGAAATTAGTTTCAGAATTATACCTTTCAGAACTGAATGGGTCAACGAAAATTGCTGAATGACAGTTGATGCAGGAAATCCACAAAAGCGGTTAATTTTGTTAAATGTAATGAAATTTGATTTTAAATATGTTCTTCACAACCCATACTTACTAACAGCGCATTTTTGCCTCTCAACTTCACCCAGCAAAATTAATTAAAGCAAGTATTAGATAGCTTTCACAAATGCACAGTTTCAAGTATTTAAGCTAGCTTGAAAGAGGAGACGTATAGAATCATTTATAGAATTTTCAGACAAGTTTGTAAAGCATATCTCTGTGTCTTAAACTAGCACATGCATTATGATAACTAATGCTATAGTTTCATCAAAACGGCAGTAGCAATATCATTCAGTCATTAAATGAGACATTGGTGAACCTGTGTCTGACTTGTAATGATCTCATTTCTTAGAAACAAGTGATCGTCATCAGTATTTAGCTGCAAAGTATATGAAAGCAGTATATCTCAGTGGCATTTGTTCAAGTGATGAAATTCATATCAATGGAGTGTATAAAATAACAATTAATTTATGCACCACATTCAAAATGCAAATCATTAATTATGTGTCTTTTGGCAACTAAATATATTATAAAACTGCTATTAAAGCATCTGTTGGTTATGTGATGTTCACACTTTGCATCTGAATAGGCCTTCTATGCTTAAATCTTCAGGTGTTGAAAGCTCAGTTTTGTACTCTGGTACTAAGCAATAAAGATATCAGCTACAATTAACCATTGTTGTGCATATAAGAAAACTGAAACATTATATCTACAGGAAAACTAGTGTCATGTCGGCTACAATCAGCTAAAAATGAATGACATCCTATAAAGGATCAGTACAAAAATTTAATTGGAGGTAAGTAATTTTCATGCTTAATGATTATTCACATCTTTCAGTTCTGCTTTCATAGTAGCATTCCATTTTTGTTTGCAAATAATTTAAATATACTGGTGAAAAAAATTTGGTATGTATTAATTTTCAATTTCTTCCTAACATGCACCAATATCTGAAAATTGTAAGCTAAACTATAATAGAACTACCTCTGAATTTTGGGGGGCTCTTGTTGGATAATTTTCAGTTAAAAGCAAAACTGTTCTTGCTCAAAATTTATATTTTGCTACAGGCAGTGCTTTTTACTTGATTTTAGGATATTATCCTAGATTTTCCTGACCTTGATAATAAATTTCATCAATTTACAAAATTTTCTTTTATAGTCTTTCTATTCTTCTCCTGCAACAGCTGAATTTCCTAAGCTCACAGTTTTACCTCTTGTTTCTTTAACTCTCCAAGGCTTATGAACGTAAATTTCCACACACAATGATGGCTTTTTATTTTGCTATTAATGGAAAATTCTGTCAGCTCTTGATGAATCCAAATTTGTTTAAAACAATTTTTTTTCTGCCCCACATTTTCCTTCTTTAATTCATTTAAAGCATAATATTCTATACTCTCGCTGCCCTGGTGCTTAATTGGTTGTGGAAAAATAACCATTGTTAGAGAAGGTGGTTCCAACGTGAGGATCATAAATAAAAATCTAAAATAAAACTATATCATTTGCTAACTTTATGACACTTTTCATAGATAAGACTAGTAAATACTGAAAAGTTTTCAACCACCATCTATGTATGTGAAAAATCTGTTTGTGAAACTAGAGTATCTTCTGCAAAAGAAAATAATTTGCACAAAAAACATGAATAGAAATTTAAAAAATTAATGACAGCTAATTTGCAAATAATTTCTCCTCAGCTTGTGATAAATCCTTTAAAAAAATCTTACAGTAGTTGCAGAAATACAGAAGTTTTGAATAATTTTTATTTTAAGCTGTGACCATTAATTTAAAATAATGTACTGTAAAACTAAAAACATAAACTACTGTAAATGTTCACAAATATGATTACTTCAATATGTATTTTTAATAAATTGTTATGAAATGTGAAATATATTTTTGAAAGAGTTCAGATTAGGTAATTCCATTTTAAGTAAGCATATCATTCATAATTTGTACTGCAAATCCTTTAGTTGCATGAATTGATAAAGTCTGGGTATTTTATGCATTAAAATATGAAAAGATCCATTTCCTTAAATAGAAAATTTGTTTTACTCTCCTGAATTGTTTGTCTAAAGAGAACTATTATGAAAATGTCTTTGTCCAATATGACAATAATTTGCAAGTAATATCATAAGGGATTAAATCGCTTTTTGGAGTGAATAGAATTAAGTATTGAATGCACATGAAATCATGTGAATGTATTTTTTACCTGAAGAAAAATACTTCCATTTTACTGACAGTATTATCTGATAGTGACTGAATCACATTTGATTGTAAGTATTTTAGCATTATGTGGAGGTGCACACTTCCAAACTTTAAAAGGATTCCAATGTAAAATTTTCAGAAGCTAAGTAAATATTTGTGAAAAAATATTGTTAATAGAAAAAGTTTTATCAGAAAAAAATGCCTTTAGATAAACTGATCACGATCACCACATGAATGTGAAGAAACTTTTGATCTGGGTGACACCAAAATCTTTCGAGAAAGGAAATAAAAATTTCTGATTCATAATATGGATCAAAATTTGAAATGAATGACATAATTAAAATCTGAGATAAAAGTAAATAGGCAAATTTGGCTCTCATGGAAGATTTTCTAAGGAAAAACAATCTGCTTTTTGTAACTGAGGAATTATGAGCTATGTTAAATAGGTTATAGTAATAATCTATTCTTAAATTCATTAGTTAATACTTCTATTTGGGGTTTCACTAAAGAGAAGCAAAGTCTGAAATATATGTATGTATTTTTAGAACTCAGTTCTTACATCTGATTAACATTTTATGTGTAATTTTTTATGGTATCCTTCATTCATATCTACTAAAATAATTTCATTCATAGTTCTTCTGTCTTGATTTATGTTTGGCCTTTAAATATTACTTTCTGAATGAATAATAATATATGTTTTTAATAGGCATAAATAATAATCCATGCCTACTGTTGAGTTGCATTTCCAGTTATGTTAACCTCATTATTAATGTTCTTGTATTAGATACATTTGATTCAATTTTGATTTATTTGGCTATAGCGAAGGGTTACCTGCTTTAGAGGAGTGAGGCTTTAATGGAGGGCTCATGTCCACAGTAGGACATGACTAACTAATTATACCATTAACATTAGGACATAACATTAGGACACGCTCAAGGTGTAGCACTCCTCTATTGGTGCATACTAAGTTTTATTATTTAATTTGCTTTTATGTGTTATATGTATTGAAATTTTATGTGATTTTACAGTTCAATTAATAATGTGGA